TCGACCTGGATTGCTTGTTTCCAATTTGACCAATCGGTTCTACTTCAGCATTCATCGACGGAACGTGGTTCAATGTCATCACTAAGCATGATGTCAGTAGCTACTAAGTACAAGAATGCATCGTCGACAATCATCTCATTCCTATTCCAAACCTCATCCAATACTGTGTAGTAGACCGAAATCTCATGATTCTCGGGAGGCCGGCATGTTTCATCTGAAACATCACCGTAATCTAGAATAACCTCATTCATTGGAAAGGATGAGTGAGCTATGGTCGAGTTCAAACTAGGGTCACTAGTTGGTGCCATTTTCCTCTTCCAGGGTTGTGAATCCTTTGAACCAAGGGGTCTGCCACACTTCAGGATCAGAGCAGATGATTGGCTAGCCGCCAATGTACCTTATCACGTGGAAAGTGCGGCCTCCCCATCTTCGGGGGTGGTCCGACCTTCCCAGGTTGGTTGTTGACGTACGCAGGGTACATTTATCCTTACAGGTGTGTTTGTAGCGGGTATATGTAATGTTGTCACCTTTGCTAGATCATTAAAAGCATCCGGCATACTTTAAGCAATGCTCTGAAAATCTATAATTCGACGCACCTCAGTTTCAAACTGGGAGGTATGGGGATCTAAATGAGACATAGTGGGAGCATACCACAACAATTCGCGATGTTCTACAGGAACATTAGCATGCTTATCTCCCCCTAACGACGGGAAGACTGTCTCATCAAAGTGACAATCTGCAAAATGTGCGATAAAGAGATCTCCTGTCAAGGGTTCCAAGTAGCGAACAATTGATGGCGAATCATAACCGACATCGATTCCTATTTTTCTCTGATGACCCATTTTGGTACGTAGCGGCGGCACTATTGGCACATAAATGGCACACCCAAACACCCATAAATGCGAGACGTCAGGCTCGTATCCAGTGACCAACTATAACGGTGAATGTGGTTGGGTAGCGGTGGGCCTCAGGCAGACCAACATAGCCACGTGCAATATTGCATAGCCCCAGGCAGATACTGGCAGTTTGGTTGTCATAACCAAAGTCTGAGCTATCAATTGAAGGCACTTTATGAAAGCTTCTGCCATGCCATTTTGGTTGTGAACATGGGGTACAGGATGTTCCATATTTATCCCTACTAACATGCAATAATCATCAAAAGTCTATTACATAAACTCTCCAGCGTTATCCAGTCAAATCGACTTGATCGAATAATCAGGGTGGTGAGCCCTTAGCTTAATGATTTGAGCTAAGAGTTTAGCAAACACGACATTGCATGTGGACAACAAGCAAACATGTGACAATCGTGTCGATGCATCAACCAACATTATAAAGTATCTAAATGGTTCGCAGGTTGGTTGGATAGGTCCACAAATGTCCCCTTGAATCCTCTAAAGAAATTTAGGAGGGTCGTGAATAATCTTTGTATATGAGGGTTGAGTATTCAACTTCCCTAAAGAACATGCTTTGCATGGTAGGAGTCCAACATAGGGATGTAACATATGCCGGTGTGAAAATTTGAGGATACAGTGCATCATGTCACGTCCAGGATGTCCTAAACGATCATGCCAAAGCAACAAAGTGTCCGAGAACTCAAGCATATGGTCGGCCACACTATGGGCTTCTATGCTGCGAATGGTTGTGATGTACAACCCATTCGGCAAGCGTTCCAACTTCTCGTGAATATGCTTCTGGCCATATTCATACAAAGTGATACAAAGAAATTCATAATCATGATCTTCAGTGGTTTCAAGATGATATTGATTATCTCGAATATCTCTAAAACTTAGCAACGTTCTTCCGGAACATGGAGAATAGAGTGCCTTCTTAATGGTCAGAACTGTACCATTAGACAACATGATACGTGCATTTCCGTATCCTTCAATCAGGTTGGATGAGCCTGAGAGAGTTGTTAAAAAAGCTTTCTTGCATATGAAGTTAGTAAAATAGTGTTGTTCACGCAAGATGGTATGTGTGGTTGCACTATCTGCCAAACAACTAACTTCCCCACTAGACATACCTAGAAATAAATTGATTGAATTGGTCACATGTATAAATATAAGTCTATTCATTCAATTAAGCAATTCAAGAAAATAATATCCATTCAAGTAACAATCCATAATTCAAAACAAACCAAAACCAAACAAATTATTCCAAATACTTAGAAAAATTGTTCAAAATTAAACCATAAACCTAGCAAAATAAGGGGGTAGGGCCGGCCACTCCTAGTGGGTTCGGCCACTCCTAGTGGGTTCGGCCACTAGGGGTAAACACCATAAATACATGTCTATTTTATTCATCCATAAACGCTGACGCCTCCTGGAAATCCAATATTTCCATTGATGTAGTTACATCTTCCGGATGATCCACATGTGCAAAGTTAGACTCACAACGGAAATGATACTTGGCAATAGCCTCAGAGGAAGCTCGGCATACGCGTGACCAATGATCCCTTGATCCACAACGATAGCACATGTCCAATTCAATAGAAGCAGCCTGAACGGGAGCTTTACCCTTATTCTTGAAGTTTGGGACCTTAGGGGCGAGTGATGGACGCTACTGGGTCACATTTCTTCCCTTAGGTGCAGTACTCTGTTGACCTTGGGCCCGTGTTTGGGGTTGCCGCCCATTGTCATGGCCACGACGGTTCTTTCGTCGTTTATGGCTACTAGAATAGGTCGCATGCGCTTCAGGCGCGGCGTTCGAGTCAGTGGGTTGAGCTTGATGATTCTTCATCAAAAGTTGATTCTGCTTTTCAACGAGACGTAAAATAGAGATCAAATCCGAAAACTTGGTGAATTTCTATGCCCTATATTGTTGTTGCAGGACAATATTAGTGGCATGTAAGGTTGAATAGGTCTTCTCCAGGATATCTGATTCGGTTAGTTCCACTTTGCAGAATTTCAACAGAGAACGGATTCTACAAACTTCAGAGTTGTATTCATTCACAGACTTAAAGTCCTGGAAGCGAAAATGCTGCCAGTCGTGTCTTGCTTCAGGTAAGTATGTCTTTCTGGTGATCGAAACGCTTGGCCAGAGCAAGCCAGAGGGTGTGTGGGTCCTCCTCAGTGAGATACTCAGTTTGCAGTGCATCATGAATGTGTCTTCGGATGAAGATCATTGCAATAGCCTTCTGAGCTTCGTCAACAGGTTTGTCAGCGATAGATGCCTCAATGGTGGCTCTAATACCTTTTGCAGTGAGATGGAGCTTCACGTCTTGAACCCACTTCAGATAGTTTCTTCCAAAGACTTCTAGAGCGGAGAAATCGAGCTTGTTCAAGTTCGACATGTCCCAAAAACAGAGGGAGAAAACGTGATTAGTCATATGGTAAGCCATAGACATATATCATAGAACATACAGGTTCTATAGACATGTAGTGGTTTAATTTATGCATGAAAACTACGGGTTTCATGTGGTATGTTTTGAATGAAAACTTCAAGTTTCAAAGGCACTAAATTTGAAACTACAGGTTCAATTTAGTTTTATGAACAATTAGTTCATAATGAGAGGTTCCTGCAAGAAACACAGAATGCAATATACTAACTAAGTGTAGTGGATTTGAGGTTCTTCGGGAACTCAAGTGTGAGAGCTTCGTTACTACAAAAGTATGTGACGGTTCAAAGTATAAAAATAAATTATTGAATCGTTAATGTTCAAAAGTGATCTTCAGGTCAATAATTTTGGATTCATTATCAGATTAATGGACTGCAAGTCACTTTTAATTAATTCAATAAATTGGGCCATACGGGGTTGATTGTAGAAGCTAAATAATATTAAAATAATATTATTGGATCGAAAAAGACAGCCCCAAATAATTTGGGCTTGGTGTCGTGTGTAAGGGCACGGGTGTGGGTGCCATAAGCATAAGGCGAGGCCTAAAATAAAAACCTTGGGGTGGTCTGCAGGCCACGGTGAAGGGAGGAAACCCCAGCTGCAAGCTAGGTTTCGAAATTGGACCGTGAGAGGGGGCATGGAAACAAGCCCGGCACAGCCTGGCTTGTGGGCGAGCATGCGGGAAGGTCCAGCGAAGGCTAGAACCTGGGTCGTAGGCACAGGAAGCTAAGCCCAGCACATGGGCTTGCTGCTGATAACGCAGGCCGTGACATAAAGGGCCCAGTAAGCTAGGCTTGAGAGCTGTGGACCAGAAACTAGGGCTGCAGGCCCGTGGTTATGGAGCAGCAAGCCTTACAGGGGCTGCACAGGTAGTCCACGGGCATCAAGGTGATGCCATCCCACGGTGAGACCAAAAACATACCCAATTTTCGAACCTAGGGTTTCAGAAAAACCCAAATTTGCTTCTAATTTAATTTTATATTTTGACTCACAAATAATTGTGCGATGCATGAAACAAATATATATATTGACAAATATATGAACATATACAATATATATCGAAAGGAAAATATAAACATAAAGAGGTTCATGCATCATGGGGAATGTTTTCATGCTTCGTGGACGTTTCAAGTATCTTCTTTTATTTTAAGCGTACCTGATTAGCAGAAAACGAATAAGCCTTTGAATTTGGTGGATGATAGCCTCCTCCAACAATGCGTCAATTCCTCAGCTTCTGGCAAGAGCGTGCTGATAACATGTTGTATGCCTATTTGATTGAACGATCTAGGGTTTAGAGAGAGAGGGGGGGGCCGACCACTATTAGAGAGAAGAGAGATTGATTTAATTGTGAGTTGTGTTTGATTCACCCCATTGTGCATTTATTTATAGTAGTAGGAAGGGTAAAACATTTCCCCTTAGTATTACAACATTTAATAGGTAATCTAATCCTAATAGGAATATAAGATACATTCCTAAATTCCCTAGGATTTACACAATCACATTCCTATTCTAAATATGACTGCAACACATTTTAATTTCTTTTAACTTTTTAAGATGGGTAAGATTAGAATGTGGGTAGAAAAATAAGATAATGGAATGGCCTAGTAGGTTTTTTTTTTTTTTTTATTGTTCATACAAAAAAAAATGTAAAGGAGTTTGACAATGGCCCCCGTCAAGGCCCAAAAGCAATCCGAAGCTAAGCGCTAGTTAGAAAAGCATTTTTCCAGTCCACTCGTCTCATGTATGATGTCGGCTCCAGAGTTCCTCCATTGCTTCCAATTCCTCTTCTTTTAAGGTTCAAATCTCTCTCTCTCTCTCTCTCTCTCTTCAATTGGGTTAATTAGTTCATTTTGTCTCCACTATTTCCCCAAATTTCTGTATTTTGCATATTATCAAGCCCTTAAATTGTTCTCGTTCTTACTTGTTCCTGTTATGTTGGCTCACATAAGCATCCTGCTAATAAGTTCTTGATATTTCTGCAATGTTATTACATAATTTTACCGAACGTACCGTTTGGAAGACAATGTACACTATTGGTTCTGCAGATTTTCATGGTGGTTTGTGTTTCCATTGTCGAAATATAGTTTTTTAAGTCAAGGGATTCTATACTTATGGTGATTTACGACGAATTCGAGCCAAATGGGAGTGAAATTGAGTGAAGCCTCTTTCGTATTCAGTATCAACAGTATCAAATTTTGCTTCTTTTAGGCTACATAAGTTGTTATAGTTACAAAATCGACATTACCCGCTAGAGATGTTACCATAAAATAAAAATGTGAAATAGGGAAAAAAATCACTAAAATTCAGAATTTAACCAAAATGAAAGATGTAATCTTGCCAAGATTCTAATTGTTAATGCCAACCTTTTTTGGATTTCGAACTTTGCTAGACATATGTGGCCCGAAAATTTCTTATTGTGCCACACTGAATTTGGAACATTCAAGCAAGAATCAACTTGATCAGTAGTCCGGATTCATACCATTTTCCGGCACTTACATATATGTGTAGAGTTTTAATTCTTTGTACTCTATGCAGACTTGTACTATCTCACTTTGCACCGCAGGTATTGTAATATCTCCCATTATGGTGGTGTATGTTATACTCTAGCTTTGTGTATACACAATTGACAATGCAATTCTATTTTTTATTCTCCCAATTTAATTTTTAACACTATTTCTTTAAAGGACATTTTTACTTGTTTTCATTGAGGTTTGAACTGTACACATGCATTGTGCAGGGGAGTGTGGATTGATTCGTACTAGTCAACACCCAATCAAGGATAACCAAAGGAAATGTAAATGCTTTCTCCTTCACTCTTTGTAACTCACAAAAATTAACCTGGATAGTTTTCCCACATCTATATGGATTTTTATTTGTTTCCATTTATGTTATTTCCTGGATTACCGGCAATTTCTACGTAGCGGTATTTAGTATCACATGATCATACAGTAACAGTAGTTGTAGACATATTCACCGTTTAATTTTTACAAACCTGGAATATGGTCTTCCAGCACAAGTGCTTTTTCGGAAAAGGAATACACCATAGATTAATATTATTGTTTTGTGTTTTAGAGAACGTTTATCCTTTAGTTCAGAAGTTAAATTAAACTAGATCCCTCCCTAGTGTTGATCAACCGGATTTTGATTTTACTTCACCCTTAAAATGTCAACTTGCTTGGAAAGCACAAATTGCAAGATTCGTTTTTTTGTTTCTTAATATGTAAATTTTTAGGATTCGTTTTTTTATTCTTAATATGTAAATTTTTAGTTGCATAATTGCATTAACAGAGATTTTCGTTCAATTCGTTGATACAATACTTTTGTTTTTCATTAATCATTTTGTCCTTCATTTGGGTAGTCCTTACCAAGTTTGGGGATTAATGGTTAGATTGTCTTATATTACTTATCTTGGTTTAAAATTCTATTTCAGAGCTATCACTTATTTGGAGTACATTGTTGGCCAATCTTTTATAAATTTTTCACATGCTATTTAGAATTTTGTTTTTCTTTTGTTTTCAGTTTATTCTTTATGCTCATGTTCTTTCTCTTTCGTCAGTTTATCTACATCTATTTTTTGGTTTATTAAAAATGTTTTATTTCTTAAAATTGAATTAGTTATTGAGGTATTGTTCTTGCGTGAATTTGTATTTCTAAAATTCTCCTTGCTTGTTAGTTTGCTTTAACATTTTAGGTATTGTATTTAATTTGTATTGATTGGGTATGGTTGTGGTATTTGGTTCAGCATTGTTATTTCCGTTCTCTTGTTTTTTTTTGGATTTTGTTCCACAACAGTTTTACGGGTACTGTTATGTTGTGGTGAATAGATTGTATAATGTTGCATCCTAGTGCCTAAGAAAATATGGAAAACTCTTGGTTACAGTTGTTACACTAGACTATTTCAGAAGTACTATTGCATTAAGTTTAAGATACAACAACAACAACAACAAAGCCTTTTCCCACTAAGTGGGGTCGGCTATATGAATCCTAGAACGCCATTGCGCTCGGTTTTGCACATGTCCAAACCCATTTTGTGTACGTGTTGATGCTTCACCGTCCAACATTCTGTGCCATACATCATCGCCGGCCTTATTGCCGTCCAATAAAATTTTCCCTTGAACTTCAGTGGCCTACGACAGTCACACAACACGCCGGATGCACTCTTCCACTTCATCCATCCAGCTTGTATTCTATGGTTGAGATCTCCATCTAATTCTTCGTTCTTTTGGAAGATAGATCCTAAGTAGCGAAAACGGTCGCTCTTTGGTATTACCTGATCTCCGATCCTCGCCCTTAACTCATTTTGGCCTTCATTTGCACTGAGCTTGCACTCCATATATTCTGTCTTTGATCGGCTTAGGCGAAGACCTTTAGATTCCAACACTTCTCTCCAAAGGTTAAACTTCGCATTTACTCCTCCTGAGTTTCATCTATCAACACTATATCATTTGCGAGAATCATACACCAAAGAATATCATCTTGAACATGTCCTGTTAACTCATCCATTACCAACGCAAAAGGGTAAGGACTTAAGGATTGTTGATTCACAAAATCAGTGAGGACTTTGGTACAACATAAAGTATTAAGTTATTGCTCTGGTCATTAGTGTGGATAAGTATGTAAAAGGATAAAGACAGGAAAGCAAACATAAAATGTACGTGGTTCACCCAGATTGGCTATGTCCACAGAGTAGATGAGTTCTCATTAATTGTGAAGGGTTTACACAAGTACATAGGTTCAAGCTCTCCTTTAGTGAGTACAAATGAATGATTTAGTACAAATGATATTAGGAAATATTGTGGGAGAATGATCTCGTAATCACGAAACTTCTAAGTACCGAAGTGTGGTATCGTCTTCACTTGCCTTATCTGTCTCATAGGTAGATGTGGCATCTTCTCTGGAAGTACTCTTCCTCCATCCAGGGGTGGTATCTTTAACTAGTGGAGATGCACAAGGTAATGTATCAATTTCACTTGAAGCTTACTTGTAGTTTCAGGCTTGGTCAAGCGCGATACAAACCATGTAGTATGAGTCCCCCAAGTCGCCGAGCTAGGGGATCTGCTGAAAGAGGTGACAGACAATGTAAGCAATCAGAGCTCCAAGCAATTAGTCCCAAATCAGAAGTTTGATTTCGAGTTCCGGCTGATTGTTCTCATTCTCCCTATCTTGCAGGCAGCATGAAGGATAAAAAGAAGAAAAGGAGAATAGATGATATGAGATACTTTTGCTTTTGAAAAAGTAACTTTCCACAGGCTTATTCTTGAACTGGGCGGGAGGGTTTTCTGGTTTCCTCCAGAGTATAAGGCCGACTGAAGAATTTGAGGGTCAAAACAAGTCCATCAAATCTAGAGTACGTTCGACCCTGCTGATATGGGATACTTTTGCTGTTGACAAAGTAGTGGATGTATCGGCACGCGGTCTGTTACGCTTGTCTCCACATGCTTCCTTGTATCCTTCTCACTTTCCCTATCGGTTCCTCAGGCAGATGTGGTATCTTCTCTGGAAGCATAAGATGTTGAAGATGAGTACTCGAGAGCAATGCCAGGTAAGTAATCAGGTAAGGGGTTCCAGGCAGTCAGTTCCTGACTGGAAGCTTGATTCCAAGTGCTGACTGATTGCTCTCTTTCTCCTTGTCTTGCAGGTAAGAACAAGGCCAAAGGAAAAGACAGGGAAAAAGCATGATATGGGGTACTCTTGCTTTTAACCCTGATGATATGAGATATTCTTGCTCTGGTGTAGCTTGTTTGCAGAGGTATTATCGGGGGGAAAGAAAGCTGAGTATTTCGAGAGGCTTTATTGGGAGTGCCTTCTCAGATATGAGGAAGGGTTGAGCATTTTTGCAGGTCTGCCTGTCCATTAAGGATGGAGGTCGACATATATAGGAGTCTCCCTAACAAGTAGTAATGTTATTCCTTTACCCTGCTTGGTCATAGCACGGTAGTGGGAGCTACCAGCTTCACGTGTGTCAGAGCACTTTGAAAAAATGGTCTGTGGTATCTGGAAAGCTGATGTTGCGTGTGAAGATTACAAACAAGCTTTATCCAAGAAGATCTGGCTCTCGAAGTTGAGAAAGCGGTGCCTCATCGGTTTTCGAACAAGCAATCCTGTCGGGGATCTGGCTCTCGAGATTCGGAGAACGGTGCCTCTTCGATTTTTGAGAGAGCAATCCTGCTGGGAGTCTGGCTCTCGAGATTCGGAGAGCGGTGTCTCTTCGGTTTTTGAGAAATTAATCATGTTGGGAGTCTGGCTCTCGAGATTCGAAGAACGGTGCCTCTTCGATTTTGGAGCAAGCAATCTTGTTGGGAGTGTTTTCTCGAAAGTGAGTAAAGGTAGGGCATGTTTGCTAGTCTACCTTGCCACGGAGCACAGAGGTTGACACACAGGGACTTTCCAATTATCCAGCAGTGGTGCTGTTCCTTTATCCTTGTGGGTAATAATATGATAGCTAGACCTTCAAAATTTATGTGTCTAAACTTTGTTAGTGCTGTTTCTTTGCTATTCTTTTACCCTTGGTCATAGCGATGTAGTGGGAGCTGCAAGCTTCACGTGTCTAAACTTTGTCAGAGATCTTTGGCAAAGTTATCTGTGGTACCCCTGAGCTGATGGTGCGTGTGAAAAGTGAATGATTGAACAGTAAGATTCACGTGCTTTCTACTTCACCAGAAATCTTCAACAGAATGGCCGTAATTTCAGCAAAGCTGAGTGTGCATGTGACAGGTGCTGACAAGGCTGAAAAGTGCCTCTTCGATTTCTGAGATCGACCCTCGTGGTCTCTGAGCAGCCCAGCTTTTGAGAAAGCAAGCCTCTTCGATTTCTAAGATCGATCTTCGTGGTCTTTGAGCAGCTCAGCTTTTGAGAAAGCAAACGCCTCTTCGATTTCTGAGATCGGCCCTCGTGGTCTCTGAGCAGCCCAGCTTTTGAGAAAGCAAACGCCTCTTCGATTTCTGAGCAGACGCCTCTTCGATTTCTGAAGCTCCGTTGAGTGCAGATTTTTATAGAGGCTGGCATTAAGTTTCAAAGCACACTTGAATCTTCACCAGTAGAAGCTCCCTTCTTGCACTTCTAAGATCTTGATTTGTCCAACCTCTTCTCTCTTCAACACCTTTGAAAATGTCTGGCCCCTTCGACCGTCGTTTTGACTTGAACCTTGTTGAAGAGGCAGCCACGCCTTCTTCAGACAACATATGGCGCCCATCTTTCTTATCCCCTACTGGTCCTCTTACCGTTGGGGATTCCATGATGAAGAATGATATGACCGCTGCGGTGGTGGTCAAGAACCTTCTCACTCCCAAAGATAACAGACTACTTTCCAAACGGTCTGATGAGTTGGCTGTTAAGGATTCTCTAGCTCTCAGTGTTCAGTGTGCAGGTTCTGTGTCTAATATGGCCCAACGCCTATTTGCTCGAACCCGTCAAGTTGAATCATTGGCGGTTGAGGTGATGCGTCTCAAACAAGAGATTAGAGGGCTCAAGCATGAGAATAAACAGTTGCACCGGCTCGCACATGGCTATGCTACAAACATGAAGATGAAGCTTGACCAGATGAAGGAATCTGATGGTCAGGTTTTACTTGATCATCAGCGGTTTGTGGGTTTGTTCCAAAGGCATTTATTGCCTTCGTCTTCTGGGGCTGTACCGCATAATAAAGCTCCAAATAATCAACCTCCGATGCCTCTTCCTTCTAGGGTTCTGTCCAGTACTAAGGCTCCGAATGATCCCCCTCCGATGCCTTCTCTTTCTAGGGCTCTACCGACTGCTGAGACTTCTCCTAAGCAACCTTTGTGAAGGCTCCCTCTTGTTTGTTTATTTTGACTCATGTATATGTACATATTTGTAACTTATCGGAGATATCAATAAATAAGCTTTGCTTCATTTCCAACGTATTGTGTTAAATACACCAAAGCTTTCTTCACTGAGTGGGGTCGGCTATATGAATCTTAGAACGCCATTGTGCTCGGTCCTGTGTCATGTCCTTCGTTAGATCCAAATACTCTAAGTCTTTTCTTAGAGTCTCTTCCAAAGTTTTCCTAGGTCTTTCTCTACCCCTTCGGCCCTGAACCTCTGTCCCGTAGTCGCATCTTCTAACCGGAGCGTCAGTAGGCCTTCTTTGCACATGTCCAAACCATCGTAACCGATTTTCTTTCAACTTTCCTACAATTTCGGCTACTCCTACTTTACCTCGGATATCCTCATTCCTAATCTTATCCTTTCTCGTGTGCCCACACATCCAACGCAGCATCCTCATCTCCGCTACACCCATTTTGTGTACGTGTTGATGCTTCACCGCCCAACATTCTGTGCCATACAGCATCGCCGGCCTTATTGCCGTCCTATAAAATTTTCCCTTGAGCTTCAATGGCATACGACGGTCACACAACACACCGGATGCACTCTTCCACTTCATCCATCCAGCTTGTATTCTATGGTTGAGATCTCCATCTAATTCTCCGTTCTTTTGCAAGATAGATCCTAAGTAGCGAAAACGATCGCTCTTTGGTATTTCCTGATCTCTAATCCTCACCCCTAACTCATTTTGGCCTCCATTTGCACTGAACTTGCACTCCATATATTCTGTCTTTGATCGGCTTAGGCGAAGACCTTTAGATTCCAACACTTCTCTCCAAAGGTTAAGCTTCGCATTTACCCCTTCCTGAGTTTCATCTATCAACACTATATCGTCTGCGAAAAGCATACACCAAGGAAGCACACTGCCCTAGCCAACTTGGTTAAACCCATGTCTGCCAATTACATTGTGTTTGGTTTGTCTTTTGATAGGACTCGTAGGAGTACTTGTTAACGTAGTCGTTTAACGTTTGATTTTGTTGAGGAACTTGATATTTACTATGGAACGGTTACTTTTAGTTATATGGTAGTTGTAGTTACTGTTACCTTTTTTTTTTTTTTGTTATACTTACTGTTTATCTCTGGCTTTCCTTTTTGCGTGTAGAGGAATGGAGAGTGCTAGAATAGCAAGGTGTAGTTATCGTGCAGTTACTGTTGTCATTGATTTGTTGGAACACAGTAAATATGCAGATATCTGTAAAGAGATATGTTTAAGGTTTAAACAACTGACAGTAGGGAGTTTTGAGCTGACATATTCTCTTCCTGAGCACCCTAATTGCTTGCTGCAATCAGATATGGATGTGCATTTGATGCTTATGTGTTTATCTATGTTGAAGAGTAGTTTTGTTGACATTTCGGTCAAGGATCTTGTAAGTTCAAATAATGAGGATGGCAATATTGCAGCGCCTAATCCTCCACCTCAGTGTCGTGCTGTTTGTAATTATGCAGCTTCTGATCAGACACCTCATACTCATAGTCATGCAGTTTCTAATCATGAAGCGTGTGATCATGATGCAACTAATCATGCAACAACTGATCATCTAGCTTCTGATCAGGCAGCGTCTAATCATGCAACGCCTGGAGCACCTAATCATGCAGCACCTGGAGCTCCTAATCGTACATTGTCTGATGATGCAACATCTAATCTGGCAACTTCTAATAATGCACCATCTAGTGATGCAACTTCTAATCATGCAGCTTCTCACCGTGCAGCGTTTATTGATGTAATATCTAACCATGATGTGTCCAATCATGAAGTATCTAATCACGTAGCGTTTGATGATGTGATATCTAATCATGCATCGTGTGATGATGTAATATCTAATCATTTAGCGTCTTCATCATGCATGTTAGATAGCATCTCCAGATTTCAGGAAAGTGATACACACTTGTCTCAGGGTTGGAAGGAATACATTGATCATGTAGGCCAGAAATTTGAAGGGGGTGCAACTGGATTTCGTACGAAGTTGTGTATGTATGCCTTTGCGATGGGATTTCGTTTTGCTTATGTAAAGAATGATAAGGACCGTGTTATTGCTGAATGTTTTAAGAAGATTTCAGATGGCTGTAGTTGGCGTGTATATGCTTCAGTTTGTCGGTTGAATGGTTTTTTCTACATAAAGACTCTAAATAATGTTCACACTTGCACGGGTGTTAACCGTGAGGAGAAAAGTAAGATGATGAATGCAAAGATCGTATCTTCTATTTTGGTTGATCAAATCCGGGGGAAACCGTCTATTAAGCCAGTAGATATTGTCAAGGATTTTAAGCAGAATTATGGTCTTGATATCCCTTACCATACTGCATGGTACGCAAAAGAAATGGCTAAGAGTGAAGTTCATGGTGATGAATCCTCATCGTATAGTCGATTGGTTGGTTATAATAATGTTTTAATGTCAAGCAATCCAGGGTCGCATTGTGTCTTGGATTGTGATCCCAAGACTTCTCGCTTTCGGAGATTGTTTATTTGTTATGGTGCTTGCATTGAAGGTTTTCAGTGGTGCAGACCGTTGTTGTTCGTAGATGTGACTGTTCTAGAAAGTAAGCATGAAGGCCAACTAATTGGTGCCACCGGGAAGAATGGAAATCAAGGTATAAGTTTAAGTGATTGTTGATATGTATTTGTTAGATGAAGAAAGGCACTTTCATGGAGCTATTAGTAAAACTGGTTGACAATTACATCTCTATGTTGTATTTTTTGGTGATTGACATTATGTTAAATGTATTTGTCAACAACTATCTTTAAAAATATTAGAATACTCATCATCAATTCTGTTGTTATGTTATTCATTTGCAGGATCGTTCCCCTTTGCGTTTGCTATTGTGGACTCAGAAAATGAGGAAAATTGGAGCTGGTTCTTTGAAAATTTAGCTAAAATTTTGACCCCGCAAGGTAGGACAGTTACATTTGTATCTGATCAGAACAAAGGTCTCGTTGAAGCTGTTTCAAACATATTTCCAACATCCCCTCATGCATTTTGCTTGCAAAATTTGAAACAGAACCTTTTATCTAAATTTCCATCTACTTATGGTAAATTTTTGCGGGATCGAATTGTTGATCTTTTTTCGAAATGTGCACATGCTCCCACTAAAGCTGCTTTTGAGGTTAATTTGAGAAATTTGAAACATGAGGGTGGTGCTCCTGTTATGACCTTTCTCGAGGATCTTCCTAAGGAGAAGTGGTCATATGCCTACTTTAAGGGTAATCAATATGGTGAAACATGCAACAATGTTTCAGAAACATTTAATTCTTGGATTTTGGAGCTATGTGGCTTGCCCATCTTTCATATGGTTGATGGCATCAGGATTAAACTCATGAGAATGATGGCTGAGTTGAGTCGTGAAGCAGAGCAATGGTCTTCTGTTCTATGCCCTGAGATGGAGAAAACCTTGAACGAAATATTGATGCTTGGTAGGAATTGGAATGTCAGTCGTTCTACTGCTTCTGTATATGAGGTGCATGCCGATTATTCTGTTATGGTTGATCTGCATAATCGTCTATGCACCTGTCATGAGTGGCAAATTAAAGGCTTTCCATGTGTTCATGCACTTGTTGCTGTACAAAAACATTCTGGTATCATTTATGAATATATTGATGACCTCTTCAAGTCAAGCTACTTTAGAAGTTCATACGGGTTTCGTATCTCTCCTGTACCTGACACTAAGAACGTGATGGATGAGGGTTCAGAAGATGTTATCATGCCTCCGCCTACTAAGAAGAGAAGAGGTAGACCAAGGACTAAAATGCCAAAATCTCTTGGTGAAGTTTAAAAGGTTAGTAAGTGTGGTTCTGCTGGAGTACATGAGAAGTGTATCTCAAATATAGTGGTTTATATTTTCATGTTTTTATTGAAGAAACTGTCGCGCTATTACTTTCTTTACTAGCTGTCAATCAAATAACAAGATATTGTGCAACACAATTAAAAGGTAGCACAAAAACGAAGAGCCACAAAGATGAGAGAACTTTACTTGATGTACTCTTGTATCATACATAAACAATATAACAAACTATACTCTCTGCATATTTGTCTTACAGCTTGATCTTTTTCTTTGTGGAACCAAAACAGGGGTAAATTAAATGTTTTGGCTGCTGAATGAAGATAATAGCTTTTGGAGAACACAGGATGAACTGAGTTTACCGAATTGTGTAAATTTTAAGAATAACTTAAGGATTTTTTTTCAGTAAAGTAATCAATTTAGAAACAGAAAAGTAAGGACTCTTCGAGCTCTCTCTTCTTGCAACCCTCAACAATATCCTTCAGTGATAATATTTTCCAACAAACCAGGTAGATGTACTATACTAATCTCCTTCTTTACTTCTTAGATCTATATAGTTATATTCATTCTGGATCTGACATTTTGTTTATTTATTTAGGTGTATTGATTGATTAAATCAGGTCTCTCTGACTCTCCTCCTAGTCTGGTTTTATTTCTTTTTTAATTTTTGGCATCCTTTTTGGTACAAATTTCAGCTTTGTTTAAATCCACAAGATTGTTTTTTAAAAATATTTTGTGAATAATAACTCGAAATATAGGTTGAATGTATTGTATTTGTTAATTCTTTAGGATTCAATTTCTCACAGATCTTTGTTTCATTTCTGGTGATAAGAGCTATATATATATATATATATATATTTGTACCCCTTGTTTTGTTTGCTGAGAAAATGAAGGAGAATAAGAACAAAACTATGGCCTTATGATATTTATTCGTTTTGTTTCCTGTGTGAATGGACCTTTTTAGTTCATCTACGCCCAAAAGTTTGTCCTTGTCAGTCAAATGGAGTATGTATTTTTTCAAGCTTCTGAGATAAGAAATATGGATATTAAATTTGAGCTTCTCACCTCACCCGTTGGATCATGGATCTGTTTAGTCGTACACCTGATGCTATGCTTGTATGTCGGGTTAGTGTTCGTTAAGGGGAATTGGATGATAAGTCAGGTTTGTTGAGGGTATCAAATGAAATACTTGTGGCATAATTCTTCATATATGTACATTGTTCGACTGATCTGTTAATCACATTCCTTGCTTTCTTCCTGCCAGGTGGGATAAATATTCAAATAATGTGCTGGGATTTCAATAAACTCGAAGCTTAGAAGTTTTCGTCTTGTTGGATGGATGATATGTAAATTGTATTTTCGTTATTCTTATAATCAATTAGAATGCATTGGGGGTCGATTTGGTTTTATGGCGGGTGCAGTACATCCAAGTTAAGATTGAGTTCATTCTGTTCGTATTGCTGTAGGTTCCCAGATCCTTCGGAATCTCGTTAACTAGTTTTTCAGAACTTGACTTGAGATGGATGGTGTTCAAGTTATATTAGCTTTTAACAATCTGGATTTTACCAATTTCGTTATTGGGGTCATGAACCAGAATGGAGTTTTTCTTTTTCTTTTGATTTTCTGTCACTTGTTTATACCTTATGACATTTTATGTTCATTCCCAATGCGACCGGAGTTTCAGGGCGTAACCCGAAAACCTGTAAACTCTTAAGGTAAAATCTTGCCTCATTTTTGTTTTTTCTTCTTCGAATAAACTATTATCTATACTAAGGGATGTGGTTCAAATTCATCTTTGGCGAGAATCGAATCTAAGACTTTGCAAGTGAAGATGAATACTACTAGACTATAGTATTAAGTGGCAAATCCCGCCTCCTTTTATTTTCTTTGTTTTGATATCAACATAGCTACTGTGCAGAGACCAAAGTGATGACTCGTTTGGTAGAGCTTTTAGCATTTTAGGTTTTTTGTCAAGTTTTGAGCCCTCTGAGACCGTCTCCGAGAGAAGCAGTAAAACCATTAAAACTCTATTTTAAAGAGTTAAATCTAAAAGCCTATCTCCAAGATACTCTATTAAGGACTATATATAATATATATAGCAAAGTGAACAGTTGCTCTTTAAATTTAGTAATTGTTGGTATGCTAAATGTTAAAAAATTATCAACACTCGATAGAGGTTTTAGAAAACGAGTAGATTGAGTTCGAATTGTCTCTGGCGCTATCTACTACATAAGTAGTTTCATAGCAGTTCTATCACTTGATTATGAAAGACCCGATTTTGGACACCCACTGTGGGCGGGCTCAATCAATATAATTTATGATTTTTCAAGTATTGGATTACTAATTGTAAATTGTGATCCAACATATTTCGGAATAAATGTGTTAAAAAGCCTAGGGGCTGCTTTCCCGTTGTAGTCATTGCGAACTCATTCCTATCCCTTTGGGAACTTTAATAATAAAATATTTAAAATTTGTTAAAATACAGAGTTGCTGGAGATGAAAAGTTAAACTGACTAGTTAAAATAGGTTTTTTTAAACACTGTTCACTTACTAGTTTAACAGAGCTTCTCTTAGAGCTACACTAAGTTGTTTGGTGAAGCTCTCAAAATCTTATTTTAGCAGAATCTCCCACATTTCTTTTGTTTCGATACTCATAAACACATAGAAGCCTTTGTGTGGATGTCAGCAAGTTGATTTTGACTAGGAACATACTGACCTTGTAGAAGATGAGCAAGAACCAATTCACAAATGTAGTGGTACTCAATTTTCACATGCTTAGTACGATCATGAAAAACTGGATTTGATGCCAAGGAAATCGCAGACACATTGTTACACCACATAGTAGGAATTTTGGATAAAGGAAATCCAATGCCTCTGATGATTTAACGAATCCAGGTGATTTCAGTTGCATTATGAGCTAATGATCGATATTCTGCCTCAGTGGAGGATCGAGTAACTGTAGTCTGTTTTTTTTTTTTTTTTTACATGACAATATTATGTTGGATCAAGATGTCATGTAGCAGTGAACTCGTTCCATATCTGTTGTTCTTAACTAGTTGAGGATTGGAAGAGCAGGAGAGTAGCAATTCCGCTGATGCGGATTCTAATCAATTGACGTGTCTGCCATATCAGTTCTTAGTGATGTCCAACACTCATACACGTGTCATGTATGCATTTCCACATATCTGTGCCATATTTGGAAGGTTATAACTGAACCAAAATAAAAAGACATTCATATGAAATGAAGAAATTAAATGTATGATGTTATGCAAAGACCACTAAAATGACTACCATTAATCAAATGATTATATGTTTTGTAATTTGAGTAATTTTGAGTAGACACGACGTTTGAGAGAAGACTTAAAAGATAAATGATTGAATTATCGAAATACATTACAAAGTAGACCATATAATATCAAAACATATGTATACATCACTATATAAGTAATAATTTAACCAGACGAATATTCAATTTAAAGATCATATTTTTGCTTCTTTTTGTAACGGAAATTGCTTTGCTTCTTTCATGGAAAAAAAAAAAAAGAATTCTTGCACAATAATCTTGGATGTGATGGATTGAAAAACGTAGGGAGAAAAAAAAAACAAAGAAACAAGAAAATGATGTGTGATGACAGATAACCTACTAGTGTAGTGTACTAGTACATAAGAAATTTGCAATCAAATGTATACAATAATTTGGTCATCACAATTATCTTGAATTTTCTAATGAAATTCTATTTTGTTTTCGAAGGGGACATATTCTTTTTCTTTTTGTTTTGGGTAACAAAAAAAGGGACATTTTCCATTAAATTAAAGGAAAATGAAATTTTATCTTTAGGTGTCGATTTCGGGATATATCTTTGTGGGAAAGGAGCGTCAAATGGTCTGCTTAGTTCGACCACGTAATCACGATTGCTATGTCATCGCGTAGCATTTTTGCTCACTTTCAGAATTATATTGTACGTTTCTCGTACAACTAATTATCTTTCACTATCGTTTTACTTAGTTCTAGTTAACTTTCACATTAATAATTATTTAGGTTAATCTCAGTTTACTACTTTGAAGTTTCATGGTTTTCAACATTTGGTACACGAAGTTTTTTTCATCTCAAAATCATACCTCAAGTCTTAATTTTGGGACAATTTCATATTAAAACTTCTGTTAATTGATGACGTAACTCACACATAAACAATAATTGAGCCCCACGTGTCAATATGAGTCCACATAAATATTATAAAATAAAAAACAGGTGAAAAAAAAAAACCCAACTCGTCTTCTACCTCCCCAACCTCATCCCTTCCTTCATCCCTCTGCAACCCGCACCCTCTCGCTCAGCATTGCTCAGCGTCACTTCTAACTCCTCCTCATCTATGATGTAATCGGAGGAACCAACGGAGTAGGAGTGCCGATTGGAGGAATTCGTCATTGTCTTCTGGAACCCTACTCCTCCATCGACGACGACCTCTTCGATCGCCTTCCGAACTCCCTCCTCCTGCTCGTCTTCAACAAGATCGGCGATGTCAAGACCTTCGGCCGCTGCTGCATCGTTCTCTATGGCGGTGAACGACTCTTGACGATGTGGCAGTCATCGGATCCCACTCGTTCGACGGCGGGACCCACTCGAACCCCTCGTCGCCTTTGTCCACAAGGTCCTCGTATGTGCACAATAAGTGATCGAGTGGTGCTGCGCGTAACGGCGCGCTTGAATTGTGGGCGATGAGGACGAGTCGAGGGGAAAGGGTGTTCAACAGGAAGAGAGAAATGGCTTCGCTGTGGCGCAAGAGTACGAAGACGGTACGAGTGTCCAGGCAAGTGTTAATGTTGTTGAGGATAGCGCCGGACATGGCACGGTTAGGGAATACCCATCGATTATGGGCAACTGCGGTTACCCGCCTATTTAAATTTCACGGTTACGGTTATGGGTAACCGTTTAGATAAATAAACGGTTATGGGTATAACTGTTTACCCGCGAAATTTAAATGGGCGGTTATGGGTATTAACCGCGGTTATAAACGGGTAACCATTTACCCATTTATTTTATATATGTAAACTTAACACAAACAATGTTCCCTATCGAACAAAACTTAGATCAATGCTATTGACTATAGTGCATGATTTCTATAGCTAATACAATATAGTTTTCCTTAACCACTCTAAATTTCATGGTCCATTATATATATTATGTTAATATTTTACATTCCGAGTCAAATAACCCAAGAATATTGTATTTTAACAATTTTCGTAACCCAAGAATACTTAGCAAATTTTATATTACCTTCATTGCTAACAGTTAAAAATATCGTCTGTAAACTATTATTTCAATTATTGGAATGGTATACGGACTTAAAAAATTAAAATGCATAAATGTATGATGAATGTACCTATAACGGTGTTTAATTGTTAGAAAAACAAAATTATGACAAATTTTTCTTTTTTAATTTTCAAGTTGTTAAAAAAAAAGGATAAACAGGTTTAAAAATGATAAATGGATAAACGGTTACGGTTAAATGGGTACACGGTTATGGGTATGGTTAACCATTTATAAATGGTTATGGGTATGGGTATAACCGTTTAGACAATTACTCAACGGGTAAACAGTTATGCGGGTATAAGAATAAACGGTTATGGATAAATAACCGCGGTTACCCGCCTGCCATAACTGTTGTCCATCCCTAAGCACGGTGAAGTGGAGCTCGTACATGGTTGGGATGTTTGGGGAGAGGGTGTGCAGAGGAGAAGGGATGTTTGGGGAGAGGGAGCCCAGAAATGGTTTTTTTTTTTTTTTAATTTTAAATTTTTTAATATTTTTTAATATTTATGTGGGCCTATATTGACACACGGCGCTCAGTTATTGTCCACGTGGATGTCATATCATCAATTAATAGAAGTTCTAACGGAAAACTTAACAGATGTATGAAACTGTCCCAAAATTAAGACTTGAGGTATGATTCTGAGATGGAAAAAACTTTATATACCAAATGTTGAAAATCACGAAACGTCAAAGTAGTAAATTGAGATTAACCCTAGTTATTTTTTTAATTTAAAAAAAAAATCAAGGTTAAGTGAGTGAACACATGTCAGATGATTAGATGTATGATAAGCATACATCATAGTTTATAGTTGTAAGTAAAAATGCACCCACGTTATCATAAGTGAGACCAGTGCAGGCTGAATGAATCAAATGCAAGAGGATTTGGGTTTGCGTGACAAGTGATGAGAGGGGGACGTATTGAGTAAATATACAATATTCATTGGTTAGAAAAAAAGAAAAAATAATCGTGCATATGAGTGTTTTACTGCAGTGGCAAAAAGTAATCAAGTATGTGCACCTTGGTGTGTATTCATTTCTTATTGATCCTTTCTTGACAATTAACTATTTAATATACTAATGTTATCGTTGTACTAAAAACAAGAAAAAAATTAATTGCAATAAGGATAAAAAGAAAAAAGTGAGCCTCAATTTAATAAAACGTTGCGAGGGATTTCAACTGGACTAAAAAATATAATACCACACATACGTCTTAAGTATGAGAGTTATGTGAGAAGTTAAAAACACAATCACATTGGAGAGGACCAGCTACCATATATTGAATTTTTTTCGGTCCATATAAACACTTGTTTGGATGAAACATTATCAATTAGCAAGAGATTTAAACAACATTGGTAA